ACATCATTTTTTTTGTAGGGGGTAGGTAATTAGGTTTTTTCTTTTTTAATGGAGGTGCTGGGGATTGAACCCAGGACCTCATGCACACTAAGCATGTGCTCTAGCACTGAACCATACCCTCCCCCCTAGGACATATTTTTATGTCTGTAAGACAGAAGAATATATATTTTAGGCTGTACCATGATTATTTTTTAAAGTATTTTATTGAATAAGAAAATCCAGGGTGGCTTTTTTCTTTTCTAACAGATGCTGAATCTGAATTCACATGATGGACAGTAATGACTATGGCTTCGCAGGTAAATAATGCACCAATTTTGAAAATTAGTAGGAGTTGTACAGGGCACGTTTCGCTAACTGCAATGCTGCTGAAGGGGGTCATTACGACACGCTACGTCTTGCCTGAAAACATCTGCCACGTTCTGAGCTCCATTTATTATTACTGTCATTGAATGCAGCAGCCCTCACAACCAGATAACTATGTTCAAGCAACACAAATGTTACAACGGAGCCGAGAAAGTGCTGGAGGCCCCCCGTGAGACCTTTCTCCGCTTACAGCAGGCTTCCCGAGGAAATGTCAAAACTGGATCGTGACGCTGGGAAATGTCTTGGAGTTTTGAATGACTCCAGTAACACAGAGCCTCCCTGGACTTAAGACTCTTTCCTGACCAATGAACAGCGGGACTTGTTCGAATTAACTGTGGTGTGGGGACTTCAAACTCATCCTGCCCTTTCCAGGCGCCACACTTCAATCCTTCACTGGTGCCACCACAGTGAACTTCCTCCAAACACATGAAAAAACAAAAATGCTCTCTCTCAGAGAGCCATTTGGCAAAGTTGCTCACTTGTGTGTTTCCTTATCCGGCAAGTATATAAACTTGTTTGTATTTTCAGTCCTTGTGGTGGTTGGCTTTCTTTCCATCAACAAATTGAAAGTGGTGATTACTACAATTGTACTTGGCCTTATTATGTTGTTTGCATGCCTTCCCCCCCTCCACCAAAACATGGTTTATCACTTGCTACAATTTGCTGCTATTTTCCAACAGAAATGCATCTCCTTATATTTCTATTAGTTTATCATTTAAAAATATTAAACACAAAAAAAGAAAATTATGGGAAAACCATAAATCCCATCTCCAAATTCTGAACGCATGAGAAGACAGAAAATTGTAACAAAATAAGTCTAATGAGCTTCTGGAGATTCTGTAAGTAACACGTTCACACAGAAAGAATAATAAAGACATTATTAAAATGGAAAGCTTTTAATATAGTACAAATTATCACACCGATGTTACAATGTTAAATTTCTTTACCCCAAATCAGAAAACACTTAGAAAGGATTTCTAATTGGTTTCTTCTAGTTCTTTCCTAGCTTTAAACCCACATCCTCTGACCTCTAAACTCCACTTGGTTGATTTTGACACGTGTGAGAATGTCCTGAAAAAAGACCACGTCCTCGCTGCTGTGTTTCCTGACCTGCCTCACAACTTCTGACTTAACCAATTGTCACTTCACCCAGGTTCTCACAGTTTGTCATACTCACTGCTAGTACAGAATTTGTCATTCTTTATCCTGGTTAATTACATACATGGCTACAGTTCTAATATGATTTTATGTTTTGTGAAAGCACACGCTCTGTCTGATTTATCTTTGGCGCTCTCACAGCATCTGGCATAATTCCTGGTAAGCACTGCTTTGCTGATCATTAAATCTGCTCCCGACGTATGAACTTTTGTTGGAAGATGGTAAGTGATGCCGTGGATTTTAAGCCCCACAACTCTGCTGTGTCCCACCTAAACTTCACACGTTGATGTGTATAGTGTGTGTGTGTG